GGGTCCCGCCGACAGCGGCATCGCAGGTCCCAGCAGACGGCGGCGATGAACGAGCGTCCCGGAAGACGGCAGCGATGAGGGTCTTGGCTGGCGACGATGAACGAGAATCTTGTCTGACGGCGATGACACGGTGGTTCCCGGCAGACAGCCGAGATCACTGGTCCCGGCAGGCAGCGGTGACTAGCGCTGGCTCGTGACATGCTGCTGGACCTGCTTGCTAGTTCTCCGGTCATCCCGCCGTCTTTTCAGCTGCTAGCGCAGCTCCTTGACGCGCATAAGCAATAAACATGCGCAACCGAGTCAGTCGGTGTGTAATCCGCCCGGTCCAGCCATCGGTGGCGCTAACTGGTGGCCTGTGAGAGGCGGCGAAGGAGTCCTGGCTGCTGGCAGAACGGCGAGGCCATGATACGCTTGAAGTCCCGGCCGACCTCGTCGACCACGGCCATCCACCACGGCCGTGGTGCCTACAGCCCAGCTTGACCTTGACCCTTGACCTACACATCAACAGTGGCAATAAGAACATAAATAGATAAAAAGTAACAAGACGAAACAACTTCATTTATTACCAAATGACACAAGCATACATGTTGACGCCTGCTGCGACACTGCGACTGAAGAGGGTATTGCACCTTTATTTTCTTAAAGAGACCAGGGTCGACGCGGTGGTTCGTCAGACTCTGCGCAGTTCTCACTCGCCTCCCTCGATCTTGCTGGTAGGACTGGCGGATGTCGTTTCATGAAGCTGTTTCACCATCCACTGCCACATCCTGCTTTAACAAGGTGTTACGTAAGCACTTGAATAGGTGTGGGACATCAAACAGGGCAATCACCTCCTCTCCATCCACGTCAAACTCGGGACAATGTGGTGTCACACCCCAGCATTCGGTACAGCATCTGGCTCGTCGAACCCATGTCGCAAACTGTGCTGCTGACCACAGTGAAGCCAGCCAGTCTCAGCTTTTTGATGCACGCCTCCAGGAGTTCTTGCATGACCGCAGCTGGAGTCGGTCCACTGCTCAGAAGGTAACGCAAAGGCCGCTTCCAACGGCACGGTACCCCACGTTTGATCAGCTAGTAAGATTTACCTTTTGTGAATTGTTCAAGGTAGAAAAACAGCTCCCTTTGGTCGTCAGTCCTGGATTCAATACGCGCCTCAAAGGCTCGAACAAATTAACGGTAGTCCTGAATACGGCCGCTGAAGGGACGCCGCTCAGTGGGGGTGGGGGTGGGGGGGGGGGGGGCAAGTGCAACCGCCTGGCCTGAGCAGTGACAGCTCAGTGAGGGCTGACCACCAACTGGCTGTTCAACAGGAACCCGAACCTGGACTACCTCGGACTCCACCAGGTGCCCCGCCTCCGCCAACTGAAGTTCAATCATAAGCTGCTCAGACCTAGCCTGTAGCCTGAACTCACCAGCCTTCACAGCTAGCTGTTCCTGTTCCAACATCTGTGTCTCCGTGAGACGGCTCAGCACGGCCACTAAATCCGCGCTTTTCGGCGCTTTCGTCTCCCTTGACGTACGCAAGGACGATTGTCGATCGTTTCGCCGGGAGCGGACGCAGCAACTCCACAGTTATGTTCACATGATTTGTTTTCCTTTACTGGGTTCCGTCGTCACTGACCTTAAACCACAGTTGAGTGAGTCGCTCTCCGCCGGCTCCGGTCAATATTGACAGCGCGCGTCTACACGCTGCATCCAGTGGCAGTTTCGAGGACAGAGGAGTCTGGTCGAGGGCGTTGCCGGTCCCCTCTGCTTCGAGTCGAAGCTCTATATCCCTCTTGACAAACCGTGTGCGGCAAGGCATGCCACGCCCCCTCAGCTCGTGATATTGGCGGAATGACACGCCTGACCTCACAACACGCCGCATAGTTTTTATTGGGGATTCTGGCTCTTCAAGGTATACCGCCATCTTCTTCACCCGTTTCTATTGGCAGCGTTTTCCCGGTTTCTCGCCGTACCCTTGCAGCATTTACCTTGTTATGTAAGGCGCGCTTGGCTGCTGACAATTCCGTCACACATCGTTTTAAACGTTGTTAAACACATCGTTAAAGCTGTAGTACAGCTTCTGCCTTCGCTACTCTAAGAGTCACAGCTATGTAACTCTCTTCTATCACGGATTACGATTTTACCACGACAGGTAATCTGCTGTTCCACCATCAGCGTGCGAATTCTGCCACCTTTTCCTCCGACACCCCGCGACAGATCAGCATCAAAAGGCTATCTGAGGTCCGGAGGAATTTTCGGAACACAATCGGTAAGAGTCTTGTACCTTTCCCCCAAGGTATGCCATGCATTATCATATTCACATTATTCCATCACGACACTAATTGATATTTGATTATGCATAGACCACTATATATCGTGGTCTATAGATTATGTAATCAGTTGTATATGGGGCACGTGGGCTTGTAACGAAACGCTACGGGAGGTAGTACCACTCATGCTCGTGCTGTACGGCCAGCTCGGCTGATAGCAGCTTTCGGGCATATCCCTTTCGAAGGTAGTCGCTGATGGTCAATGTGTACAGACCTCTCCCTCCCAGTGCACGGTTGCGGTCCAGCTTGCGCTCGATAGACCAGAGCCTGGACTGTGCGCCATCCCACAAACAGGGCACGCACGGCGACTCGGCACGCGCAGCATGGTCTGGGTGAGAGGCCGTGAGCTTGGTCAAAAACTTGGTCGGCACTCTAAGATGGTGATATTGGCCATCTGCACAGATGGCAGCCAGCTTCCGCCCGTCCGTCCGTGATGCCGACCCTTGCTGCAGTCTGGAGCCATTCGTCCGCCAGAGAAGTGCCGTCGTGTTCCTTGACGACCGGTGCACCGATCACGACGCTCTGTATCAGAGCGTTGGCCGGTGCCTCAGGGACGAGGATGATAAGGCCAGTGATGTCCAGGGTACGGCCATTCACCGTGACTTTGTCTGCGATCCATGAGACGCACGGAGCCGCCTTGACGTGGTCAGCCAAAGCGTCCACGACATCCGAAAATGCATCTCGGAACGTGCCTCCTGCTCTTTTTTGCGCGCGTCTTCCATTTTGCGGTGAGACGCACTCGCCAGATGGATGTGTCCTGATTGCCGCCTTGAGACGCACAAAGAGGCGTCGTGGGGCTGACGGTTTCGGGAAGGATGTACCCTCCGAGAAGTTGTATTGAAGCACTCCTGTTGTTTTAGGTGCCTTGAGGTACCGATTTGGATCGAAGTTGGGCTGGCACACCTCGCAGACGACTACACCATGATCGGGAAAGCTGCGCAGCTGATGACTAGACGCTTCTTGGATGGTGGCCAGATCACGTGCTGAAGTCAGGACCGCATCGATTGTCGGCTGCGAAACGCATGGCCACTCTCTTTGCCTCTGAACGCCTGCCTGTTCTAAATAGGCCAAGAATCCGGGTCTGATTCGCCTTAAAATCAGCCTGCAGCCATGTCGGTTTTGCTCTGAGTATTTGCCTGCTCTAGAATGTCTAAAATCTGGATCTGATTCGCCTTCAAGTCAGCCAAGTCGGTCTTTATACTCTGCAACAATTAAGTTGTAGCTGTTCCCCGCTGAGATAGGACAGATCCAAGGCTAGGATGGCTGGGCGAGGTGCAGGACGTCATATCGACTATAATGAAATGCACCCACCTCCCCCTCACGCCTGACTTGCTCGGGTGCCAGAGCCAGAGGGCTGCTCGGATCCGGACGCCAGGCTGAACTTGAAGGCTGCCAACATGTTGGCAGCACTGTCAGTCACAAGAACGGACATCTTGCCCTCGAGCTCGTATTCTTCGATCGTCTCTTCGTAGGCGGCGAGAATGTTGGCCGCCTTGTGCCGCTCCGGGGAACGCCTGTAATGGCAATAGGCAACACCATGTGGAATTCAGTTATCACTAGTCTGTCAGCGAATTGTTCAAAGGGGAAGCTAAGAACATCATAATGAGTTACGATGACGGTGATGCCTACTTTCAGTCCATCTCGGATCATACATAATCAATGCATTTTTATGATTTTTAATTAGTTGAAATGTGAAATAAGAAAGATAACATCGCTTACTTGAAGGCCAGCAGGTGCGACTCCAGTTTGGCCTGTGGCTCTGGGGTCACAAAGTGCACCGTCATGCCCAATAAGGCGACAAGTTTCCGGCTGCTCCAGAGGCTCATGGTGAGGCACACGGTGCTGTCTTTTGGCAGGAAGAAAGGAGTCTTCTTAAGCGCAGCTTTCTTGCTAGAGGTGGCAAAAGATGAAAATTTTGGGAACCAGACTCGAACCAGACCCGGCTGGACATTTCTGGAACCAGTCGGACCCGGTCTTAGTTGGAATCGGAACCAGTTGGACCCGTTCCCCAAAAGTCAATTAATACAAACTACTTGTAGGTATCATTAGGTGCATCATGTAAAACAGTCTATTTCCCACTGGGAATACTCATGAGATACTGTGTGCAAAGAAACATTCACTTCATATTTTGCGGTAATGTGTAGTGTGCAAGATGTATAGTTAATGGTAGGACCCGGTCGGACCCGTCAGAAAAGTTCCAGGAACCGGTCTGGACCCATATGGGTCCAGGCTGGTTCTTTGGACCGGGTCCTCGGGTCCACATTTTGCCACCTCTATTTCTTGCCCTCTGCGAGGGACAGCAGCTGTTGTCGCACGAAGCGTCTCCCGGGGACTGGGTACCTGTGAGCATATGACATAACGTGAAGGAGTTATAATGGACTTTGTAACTAATTGCACTTTCTCTACAACTACAGCCATGGATCACAATTTGTAGGCAAGAACAGGGAATGCGCAGTTGGATCTACAAACATGTAATAGCCAATAGTTATAGGTACCTGTTGCCGGCGGCTCGCTGCGTGTGAGAGAACGTGGACTGTATGCTTAAACGTCAGCCAAAGAAGGTACAAAATACCCGTGTGTCGGTTCTCCTTGTTATACCCCTTAACGGAAAGAATGTATACAAAATAGGTCGGTATTGCCTTTAGACCATATGCGGGCTATGCAAACGTGCGGGCAAACAAAAGCATACTGTAGTCGCCGTCTCGTCCAAACGCTAAGCCTCCACACGCCAGATGCTCACTAGTGGTGTATTGCCACAAGTTTCTGTCAAAGAACACCGAACTCCGTAAGATTTTCAACTCGCAAATCAATATCACACGCCAGACAAAGGGGGGGGAAGAACAAGTGGAACCAGAAACAGCCAAACTCGCGATAAATTATCATAGTGGTTGGTTCCAAAGTTGAACAATCAACCACAAATCGACAAAGCGTACGATAACCAACCTACCATCAAATTGGCGTCCGTAGCCTGAAGACGACGACCAAACCAAAACCAAGTCCAAGCCAAGATGCTTCGCCGCAAGCCTCAAGCCATAACGCCGCCTGTACCAACAAACCCGTTCATGTGACACACGTGGCGCACCAGTTTCGATATCCGCGCACGAGGACATAACAGAAATACCAATACAAAGTCATATAATGGTTGAAAGGCCCAAAAAACTCAGTTCAATCTGAAATATCACTCCAGATAACGTTACATGAATGATATCCGAGCGGAATATACCGAAACTTCATTGTACTTACATCCCAACGACATCACGCGCGCGCCAAACCGAACCAAGAACGAATGAAGACCGAAAAGAGGTGGGTGACGACAACACCTCCGATTTTCACACCTCGTCCGAGAGCAGCCAGAGCGTCAAGAAATTAACCGTGTCCTAAAAATTCACAGACATAAATTTACCAAATATAATAACATATTTCCAAGGCATATACATAAATCTGAACAGACAATTCTCCGATAACATCTCTATTTTCGCAGCTCCAAATAATATTTATCGATATGACTGTAGCGGGGCTCGGCTGCAAGATATTTTATTTTGTTTGTTAGTGATTTGCGAGGCTGGTCAGTCACTGGGGCATATAGGCTGCTACAACTGTACGGTGATGGGTCATTGGGTTATGGGCATTCAAAGAGGATAGTTAACTCAGGTTGGCTGCCCGTGGCTCTCTCTCAACCCAGTTGGGACCCCCCCCATTAAACATATTTTTTTTTACGGTGTAACATCAGAACACGCTTGACATTACGGCAACTGCACGGAGGCGGATAACTCCCACTGGATATAACACATTCATGCTTCCACACAATCATCCTTTACCCATGCTCTCATTCACATCCCTTGCACACAGATAAAATGTCAGATTTCCAGTCTGATCCCTCCCTATTTTCCTAACTTCCCCCCAGTGGTGTACAGAAGCTCGTTAAATGTAAGCATGCTAAAAGTTAGACCCATGACATCGCCGAACATGACAAAAGAAAAAAAAACTGGTCCCAAAGCTGCTCAGGTCACGGCAACACAATTACGTCTCGCCGAGCGTTTCAAAGCTCTCCCCCCCCAAAAAAAAACTCCTTAAAACCCCATAGCTTCCACTACCCAACCAATTAATCTAATCCATGTCTCGTTCAGTGGTGGCATATGTCTGACGCACACCGGCATCATCCGTCTTGGCTGGTCATTCCCGTCTCCGTCACTGACCAGTGCACACGCCTGCGGAGGCCTAAAACCCTAACATTAAACGCCACAGTCACATGACCGACGCGAGACGGACCAAGGGTGCGTGGTGGCACGATGTAAACGAGTGCCACCGCCGTCTTAGTGCCGGCATGTGATGGGCCTAACCCGCACGTCGCCGGTGGCGCGGCCGTGCCCTACCTATCCCCCGGGTCATAAAACTGTCAGTTAGGTTCCGCAGGTAACACTACACCGTGGGTTCTATGAGGGACATAACCTATCCTTTTTGCCGGAGTGAGATTTTAATGCAGGCCGGATTTCCCTGCTTTGTAGAGAGTTCAACCCTCCTTCCGAATCACTCCGGGTGGCCGAAATTTAACGACGACTCAGCTACTTCGCCCCGTGGTGCCCTTACCGCGCCAAACCACGCCCGTGGGGTATTCCATCTTCCCACACCCCCCGGGTCCCTTCCCGCCCAGGGGTCTTGGAGCAGCCGGACCTATCTGCCACTACCCCGCATCTGGCCGGAGGGAGTACTTAGTGCACCTTTCTGGAGCCCTCCCTCTTCCAGGATCTTGAGACAATAATATTGCATCTTTCTGATACGCTAGTCTCCCCCCCCCCCCCTCGGGACGCCACCCGAGCCTCTACAGTCTACACGGCCTTCGGGTTACCGCCCTTCCCTGGACCCCGATATCCCGGCCGTCCCCTCCCTAAACTGCCGTCGCAGACCCTACTCGAAATGACCAACGCGCGCCCATGGCTACGTGGCTGTTCACGACATGGCCAGTGTCGGTTCGCAGCACTCACATGGTTCGCACGCGTGGTATATAATGTTACCTGGTCGGCCCCGGAACTCAAGCCGGTTTCCCGCGCCCGCCAGGCGCAATATCCTTCCTGTACCTCCCTGAATGCCTTCCCGCGCTATACCTGCGCAATAATTAGCAGCGTGACCAGGTCCTACCCAATTCCGTTCTCGTGACCTGCTGAGAGCGGGTTCCTGCGGTGCAGACTCCGTTCGGCAGGACACGCCGGATACATCCTAACTTTTTATCACCGGAGTGGGGAGTTAGAGGCGGGTGGGATGCTTCCTGCCTGAGGGGTATACCGATCCATCCCGATCGACCCTCGCTTTAGAACCACTCCGGCGGCCGAAATGTTGACGAACGGGTGAACAATCCCGTACGGTGGCTCTCTCCGCGACAATCCACGTTCGTGAGACGCTGTGCCCTCACGCAATACCGGGGAAAACTCACACCCTGAATCAAACATTCATGCATGAGAACCTCCCGTAATCGAGCAACACTTTCTGTGCCCCTCTGAACTGGTCATTGGGGAGATATAAGATCTGAAAGGCACCGTTCTGGCACCTCCCCAAAGCCAGGTGGTGTGACGGCCTGTACTCTCATCGTGAATGCTCCGTCGCACCCCACCGGTTTCCCGCCTGAGTTATCAGGGCTTATATATCATATGAATCTTAGCCGAGACCAAGACACGGCTATTTATTTTGCCCGACTTACGACGTGCCACCGGCCTGGGGCATCGAACGAGAGCAACCATACAAGAACAAAGCATGCTGCACGCGTCGCCCGGAATCACCACCACTGAACGGACCGATAATGAAACCTATAATGAAACCTTAAATACGAGCCCTAAAAAAAAACGATACCTCCAAACATGAATACGCGCACTCCCAGCGTCGAACCGTCCTTTGAACTGCAAACCACCAACCAATATCTTCTCAGAGCCTTCTTCCAGAGTGCCTACGTCCACTGCAACATGCTTCCAGTAACCCTGCAGCGACCTGGTTCCCCTGAACCGACCTCCATACATACTTATTTCCCTTGCCACTTATTTACCGCATCAGAACAGTTTCCAGATCACCAGGTCACCAGATCCAATCACCAGATCTTTCTCCGACCAAACCTATTCAGAAAGCAGTATTCCCTCTATAACCTAGCTGTTTTAATCTACCGTTCCGGAACAAACCAATCGCTAAAATTAAGCACCTCTAAATCGCCAACGTTAAACCCCCTACCACTGATGCTTTAACCAATAATCCTATTGTACGTTTAAAATGAGCTTCGGCCCAAATGCCATCAGATCAATCATAACTACACATTCAATCGTTCAACCCAGACAAAAACCCGTCCCATCACCCGTAAGTGTAGACAACCGTGTCGATGAACACAACGTACACGGGGGTACGACACGCATAGACTGGCCTCGCAGCCCCGATTTATTCCCTAATATAGTACCTCTTAATTCGATACGATTTATCTTAATTTCTTTCCTCGAGTTTTACCGATAAGCATTTTGTAGAGCGATTAGAGACCGTGTTCTAATTTCGACAAACCATGTAACTCTGACAAAGCATTAACTCAACCCATTCGTATAAAAAAAACATTGTCCGACTTTAACAATTGGAAGTTGGAAGCGATGCCTGACCCTATTTCAATCATCGGTGATGTTTATGTTAATCCGGGTATAATTGTTAATGACCCGACGGTCCGTGTAGCGATAGCCGCTCTCAGTGGGCCACAGGTCACCTCTGAATGCGGGCTCGGCTCAGCCATTGTTATCCCGCACCCCAGCGCGGTGCGAGCAGCGCGGGTCACCTGCCAATCCCCTGATCATTAACACGGCCGAGCCCGTCCGGCCCGGGCGTCGCCGCGCCCGCGGGTTGGGGTCCGTCCTCCCCACGCGTCCCGAGACAGCACCTCCTCCGTGACGTCATATACGCAGCAGACCCGACGACACAATCTCGGATTACCGACTGACGACATGAAACGCATGTTGGGGGCCATGAATGGGAGAGAGAGAGAGAGAGAGAGAGAGAGAGAGAGAGAGAGAGAGAGAGAGAGAGAGAGAGAGAGAGAGAGAGAGAGAAAGTGAGAGAGAGAGAGAGAGAGAGAGACAGAGAGAGAGAGAGAAAGAAAGTGAGAGGGAGAGAGGGAGAAGGGAGAGAGAGAGGGAAGAGAGAGAAGAGAGAAAGACATACAGACAGACAGACAGACAGACAGACAGACAGACAGACAGACAGACAGACCGCCCTACTGACAGACCGACGCACCATCAAACCAACAGACCATCAGACCGTGAACGGCAAACTGACGGACTGACAGGCCGACAAGCCGACAGAGCGACTGGCCGACACTCAGAGACTGCATTAACGATCACTCGGAGAAGACTGATAGGGAAGGTGGAATGTCGATAGATCACATTCTTACACGCGTCGCATCCATGCTCCGTCTTCAGTCGGTGCTCTACCACCGCGTCGAGTGATCGTGTGCCGCCGTCGGACCTAAGCGCCCCATCCCAGTTTCCCTGTGAACCCGCGCTGGACGGCCAGTGCACGCGCTAATTGCTCTAGCCGCCGCAGGACCGGCGGCCCGGGCATCGGTACCCAAGATGGCCGCTTCTTCCGACCGGCGCCGGCCCCCCACCGCCGGCGTCACCGTCTGACCAGCCGCACAGGTAACCCCTCCCCACGAGCGGGACACCCCCTCCTTCACACACATTCCTGGGGATTAGCCGGGTCGGCCGCCGCAGCCGGCTGATGGGTCCAGACGGCGCGGGCAGGGACATTTAAATCGTTCATAAACGGTATTGATATCGTCGTTAAGTGTCGGAGATAATGAGCGGCGTTCGGGCAAATTTAAAATTAAGCTTAGCAAAATCGTTCTGGCCACCCTCGATCAGAATCGTGAAATCAAATGATGATTATGGGGTATATTGCCGGAAATACAAACCAGATAACGTTAACTGTTAGGTAGAGCATGTTAATTTCACAGGTAGGTCACTTCTCGATTAGATGACAGTGGGGCGAAAACAAAAATGCCGGCCAATAGAATATATTTTAAATCATAACTGAGTCGTCAAGATACTAATCTCACCTCGGGCTTACGTTAAATTTCATCAAATTTGACTGGCCTTTGCTTGAGCTCGGCCACCCAAACCCGCCGGAAATGACAATTTCGGAAATGATTATTTGTTGATCGTTAATGAGTTATGGGTTTTGTTTCGCATATTTACCAACCCTGAAACCTAGAAGACACTCGTCGTTCAGCACTGAGTTACGCTACATACTGAATGAAGTTACGCATGGATTTCTGGGGCTAAAAGGCTCAAAACTTATCGTTACGCTAATTCGCAGATAGAAATAAACAACGTTTACCGGACATTGAAGTGATCGAGTATATACTGCAACGTAGGTACGTCGATTTGCACTGAAACCTGACAGC